TTTGTTTGTTTGTTTTGTGTGTGTGTTGGTGATATTTCAAGGAGCTGGAATTCAATATGAAAGACAGAAGATAATAAGTTCTTATGCATTCACTATCCAGAACAAATACTAAAAACATTTTATTACATTGAATAGGAATCTTCTTTTCTCTTTTTATTTTTTATTTGTTCTTTTTAGATATACCTGACAGTAGAGTATAATTTGACATATTATATATACATGGAGTGTAATTATTCTAATTGGAATCCCATTCTTGTGACTGTTAAGTGGAGTATCACTGGTTGTATGTAAAGTATATATAAAATATATATATTTCCTATGTTCATATGTATATGAACATAGGAAAGTTGTGTTTGATTAATTATACCTGTTTCCTATTTCCAATCCTCCTCCCTTCCCTTCAGTCCTCTTAGTCTAATCCAAGGAACTCCCCCACTCCTTTGTTATGCATTAGCATCCACATATCAATAGAAGATTTAGCCTTTGGTTTTGGGGATTGGCTTATTTCACTTAGCATGATAGTCTCCAGTTTCATTCATTTACTGGAAAATGCCATAATTTCATTCTTCTTTATGGCTGAGTAATATTCCATTGTGTACATAGACCACATTTTCTTTATCCACTCATCCGTTGAAAGGCACATAGTTTGGTACAATAGCTTGGCTATTGTTAATTAAGGTGCTATGAACATTACATGGTCACTATAGTATGCTGATTTTAAGCCCTTGGGCTTAAGCTGAGGAGTGTGATAACTGGGTCAAATGGTGGTTCCATTTCAAGTTTTCAAAGGAATATCCATAGTACTTTCAAGAGAGTTGCCACCAATTTGTGGTCCCACCAGCAATGTAAGAGTGAACCTTTTTCCCAAATCCTCGGCAATATTTATTATTCCTTGTATTCTTAATAATTGCCATTCTGACTGGGGTGAGATAGTATCTCAGTGTAATTTTAATTAGTATTTCTCTGTTAGAAATATTCAAAAACATTTTTTCATATATTTGTTGACCATTTTTATTTCTTCTATGAAGTTCCTGTTCAATTCCTTTGCCCAATTATTTGGTTTTTGCTGTTTTTTGTTTTTATTGTACCCCATGGTGATTAATGCTCTATCCAAGGTGCAGATGGCAAATATTTTCTCCCATTCTTAAGACTCTTTCTTCATGTTCTTCGTTATTTCCTTTGCTTTGAAGAAGTTTTTTAGTTTGATACTAACCCATTTATTGATTCTTGACTTTATATCTTGTGCTTTAGGAGTCTAGCTAAGGAAGTCAGTTCGTAAGCCCACATTGTAGAGAGTTGGGTCTACATTTTTTTCTAGTTGGTGCAGGGTCTCTGGTCTTATCCCTAGGTCCTTGATTGTCTTTGAGTTTAGTTTTGTGCATTGTGAATGATAGGAGTTAAATTTCATTCTGCTACATATCAAACATCTATATATATGTATATAATATTTTAGCAATGAATATTCTGTATTTGTTCATTCATTATTCTTTTGATGAATATTTAGGCTCACTCCAATTTTTTTTTTTTTTTGGCAGGGGGGATAACAGGTGTTGAATTCAGGGCCACTCAACCACTGAGCCGCATCCACAGCCCTATTTTGTATTTTATTTAGAAATAATGTCTCACTGAGTTACTCAGTACCTTGCTGTTGCTGAGGCTGGCTTTGAACTTGTGATCCTCCTGCCTCAGCCTTCTGAGTCTGGAATTACATGCTGATGCCACCATGCCCAGCTCTCTCCAAACTTTTTATATTATGACAAACAATGGTTTATGAACTTCCTTTTACTCTTTCTAGAACACGTATAAGAATGCTCTTCAGTATTTAAGTAAGGATGGAATTGCTGAAATATGAGATATTGCATATAAACCTTATACCCACATTAAATTCTCAAATTTATATATTAATATCTCCATTTTATAGATAATTAAACTAAAATTTACAGAGTAAAGTTAATAACATCAAAGTAGTGATTGATACCCAAACTACTTTTCCCCAATGATGCTATACCTCAAATACATTATAAGGTGTGTTTTATGTGAATATGATAGCTCTAGAAGCTGAATTCCTGTAGGTCCTTTGAACTTCTGAGTTCCAGAAGTCACTTTGTTCTCTCTACTTAGACCTTGAACAATTTAATTTGGATTCTAGTTGTGGATGGTGAACATTATCAAAGGAGATATTAGTAACCTACAATATAGAAATGATACTTGAGGTAGGGAGCTAAGGAAGAACAGGTAAAGGGAGACCTCATCTAATCACTCTCTTCCTCCGTGGAACTAAAATAAGGACTTCTGTACCAGACAAACACAGGACAGAACCCAGCAGAGCATCTTAATTTTGGAAACATAAAATGATTTAAAAAATTGTTATATATATAAGTTTCATCGTGCAGTGGGGAGACCACTGATCTTAGTACCTGGTTAATATGACTACTTAGCTAGAATAGGAAGTTATTAGAAGAAAGTCTATTTGTAAACCACAGCCAGAGCAAGTTGATAACCTTGTTGTCTTTTTGCTTGCTTCTAAGTTGGGAAGATCAGAGTGTAGAACACAAATATCTCAAATCTGTTTGCCTCTCAGGGTTAGCAGCAAGACACTGTAGAGTTACATCCTCATATTTGCCTAGAATTTTTCATCTCATAGGCTCATATAATTACATATATTTACTGCTAAATTTCTATGAAATTTATTTTGTTTATTCTTCCTAATCTTCCTTCCTAAAGGGCTAGATGTTTTTTTCTCGTGAGTTTTATCCTTACTCAAATCTTATGTGAACTTTAAACATGAAAAGATATTTTGTCTTGATTGTATTAATAAGGAAACCAAGCACCATTAAACTGAGAATTGACTTGTTCACGGTTACAGAATTAGATTTCCTCAATGAAAACTCTAATAATTTAGGTTCCTTATGCCTCTACAGGAAAAGAACAGTGACCAGTTTTCATCATTAGACCCACTGCAAAAAGTATAAGCTGTTAAGAGTTTTTATTGAATTTATTTTGAATATGAAAATGGATATTTAGTATTAAAGGAGATAAGGTTTTCCCCATTATAGAAACAAGCATATAAATTAACATTTAGTTTTAGGCCACAGCTACTAAATTACAACATAAAGAATTTATTTGCTCATATTATTTCCATCATACTTTTCAGTATTAAATGTTCCAAACAATCCCAGAGAAGTAGCAATTGAATTGCAGGAGTTCAAATTAAGTCTTTTGTATGGCCCTAATCTTGTGGAGCCTCTTGTTTCTTTTGTTCTAGCATCTTCTACAAAGATGTATTAGCATTTCAATCTGCCTTTACTTTCTAACACTATCCTGAATTTCAATTGTGTACAAAGCTTAGAACAAACAGTCCAAAGAAAATAGCTGTTAACAGTAGCATTCTATATCAAAGGTTTACTTTATAGACTACATGAAAAGAATTATTTATTCCAAATTTTATGTTACTAAACCCTTATTGAATAATTAATATTACAAATAAACTACTTCAAGTCATTACAGTTTTACATTTTTGCAACTAAGAAAAAATTGCTGAAAAGCTTCATGGTGTATTATTTTCTCAGATTAAAAAATATACTGCAAAATTATGATGTTCTGTCATCTATTCCATCATTTGCATATTTAATGTAGCATCAACATTCAGGTTATTATTGGATTTTTTAAAAGGTACTTTGAAAGGAGAAACCAGAGGCATGATAATTTTTGCCTCTCAAAGATACATACAAATATGAAAGGTGATTAAAATTAAGAAACAATATAATGTCTACATATCTATATACAAATATGTAACATTTTCTTCTGTAATAATTTTGTATTTCAGATTTTCAAGGTTTTTTATGGGAAAAAGTCAGGACTTTCTTTTAGTACTGTTGTGTCATACTTGATGATTTGCAATAGTTGGTGAAATTATCCAAAGGGAAAAAAAAATCTTGTAAAGTGAATGAAAACATCTGAAACCTACTGAGTTTTTAAACCCAGATCATTTTTAACTATTACTGATGACACAGAATTGATAGCCAGGGAAAGCCTCAATATGTTATATTGGTACTACAGTACCACTTATGATCCTTATCAGTGAAAATAACTTTATAAATTACAGTACATTTTCAGCAAACTCAGTACTTAATACAATGAAAAAATTCTCATGTTAGAAGGGCCCATCTCCCTATCCAGCTAAAAAATATTTCCTCCTTACCTCTAGAGGGGTTAAGGTAAAATATTTTTTTTAAATATGTATATTGGTGATTTCAGCTGGTGATCACATGAGGAACTATAGCTTTAGAAGGGTCATTTGGCCTATATTGTCTCATATGCAGCAAGTCATATAAAATTCTTCAGTGAGGGATGTCCTTCATGTTCCAAGACTTGAAAATAGCCTTGGTCACCAGAGACTGTTAATTGTGGCTACAGTAAACCCAAACACACAAACTCTGAAGGAATCTTTATCTGCCATTGGCTTTTACATCCCTTCCCCATATATTTCTTAGTAGCATCCCTAAAATTTACTACCCTACTCTGGATATCATCTTTCCTGTAGCCCCATCACAAATTTATTATTGTTCTTTGTCTAAAATGTATATATTCACCATTCGTAGGTCATTCATTCCAACACTACTCTCTTGTGAAGATCCTCATGTACTATGTAGATGTAAACTGTCATTTGTAACTAATTAAAACAAATTAAAAAAAAAGAATACAAACAACCAACAACAACAACAAAAACAAAACTCACAAAACTTATGTGACTTTCTCTTGTTAATCAGGTTCCTAGACCAAACCAGAAAGCCCACATAAGAACTAAGAGAGAATAAGAGGGCATTTTTCTCCCTACCCTTCAAATAGAGATAATAGATTCAAGGAAATTCATCAGTTCCTCATTTTTATTGCTAATCTATATATTTTTTTCCATGTTCTGAATTAAAGGCATATTATACATGAATAGGTTTGTCACATTGAAAGCTGCAGTGATTAACTATTAAAAACATAATACTTACCTACTGGTTCCTTTTGATTCTGAAAGAGAATCTTGCTATTACTGCCATCCATATTTGCCATGTTAATTGTATTTCCATCTGTCCAGTAGAGTTTCCTTAATTAAAAACAGATGTGGATTAAAAATATTAGATGTTGACCTACTTGATAAATATTAAAGTACAAAGAAAATACTATAATGTAGTCTTGGTTTGGGTTAATTCTTTATTAAAGGTGTAAAATTAACAAGCCACTTGCTGCCTGGGATAAAAGCACCACTCTTGTTTTTGCCTGTCACTGAAGGAGAATTATCTCATTCTCCTTCTCCTCCTGCATTCAAAACTGAATACTTAATTATGACTGCAGTAAATTTCATTCATTTTAAGTAATTCATCAAAATTGAATCCTCTTGGCTATAAAAAAGTCAGACACTATAGATGGGAATAAATTCATTTCAACCATTCTGTTGTAATTGAAGAAAAACTCTTCTAGCCCTATGTAGGCTCCCTCAAGTGTATATGATAACTGACCAGAAGATTGGAGAATCTGATCTACTTACAAGTGAATATGTTATTAAAAATTGGCATTCAAAATGAAATCAACAACATTTCTCACATCTCTTTTTATTCTGACTTGTCACTCCATAGAAATATAATTAATGATATCTTACAATATGTATGTATAAATCATATTTTTGCAGTTAGAAATCTCTAACTAGGGATCTCTCATAATTTCCATATGCACATTTGCTTTTTTGATGCTATACCTGATACACACACACACACACACACACACACACACACACACACACAGTGATAACAATCTTAAACAGTGGCTTTTCCATAAAATCAGGACAAAAGTGTGGAATTTTGAAAAAACTTAAAAAAAAATAATCATACTTTACCCCCTCACTGGGTGAGCTGCAAGACACTGTGGCTTATCGATTCCGTGGATAATTGAGGTTTTCAAAGAGCCATCTAGCCGTGCCACATTAATTTGTGTTTCATCAAATTCTGAGCTAATCCAGTATAAATTACGGGATACCCAATCCACTGCTAGCCCTCTTATACTCTGAATATCTGTAAAAGAGGAAAAGGAAAATTAAAAGGGAATGAAGTTTCTCATTCTCTTGGCTCTTCAAATAAGTTATTTTCTAAGGGAAAATTTAATTTACACCTTAATTTGTTTGCTAAAATTGTACAAGATTGTAATCTCATTCCCTTATCAACCCTTCTTAAAGCATGAATAATCATTAATGTCTTTCTGCGGAGGCATTTGAAAACCTGAAGCAACAATTAGCATTGAAATTACACTAACAGTCAATGATTCACTAGTAAACACTTTGGAGCAGACTCAGGCACAAGTCTTATGGGCCAAGGTGACCAAAATTTAAATTAGAGTAATAGCTTCTCCAGTTGGTAGCACAGAGTTCTAGTTAGGAGAAAGTACTCACTGGCCATCAACAAATGGGCTATTTTATGTTTTAAGTGCCAATTTGTTACTGCAATGAAATAAGAGAATTCAACTTTCCTAAAAATCACCAGAGTTGAACATCTTTCAAAACGGATAATTAACAGGAATCAAATGAGATACGAGAGAACAAACTAAAATCCTGTTAACATTCCTCCAGCGTGGGATGCTATAGAAATTACTGAAATCTAATTAAGTTTGAATACAGTACAGCCCGTATAAATATTTGGGCTGCAATTGCTTGATTATTAAATCAGGCATCTTTGAAAACAATGATGAGATTTAGTCTTAAATGTAATTACCCATTTCAACTAAGTGTTAACATGATGAAGATTAGAGAGTCTTTAAAAAAAAAAAATTAGTCCTCAATCTGGAGCAACTGGCTACTTTGGTGTCTATTTTAGTTAAAAAGTTTTAATGTTTTCTCGAGCGTAAGAAGTTCATTGTACTTCTAGAGAGTTTTAAATCACTGATTCTTAAATTTACAAGATATACTTGGAGACTGTGCAAAGAAAGATTCGTATTCAGTACTTCTAGAGAAAGGCCCAGATTCCTCACTGTCACCTGTCTCCCAGGTACTACTCCTGATTCCAGGGAGCGATTCTAGTCAAAGCCACAGAACACTTAAAACTTGGCTTCAATGGAATTACTACAGCTTTCTTTCTTCTCTTTTCAAAAGAAGCCTTAACTAATTTTTTTTAATGTAAAATCTAAACATCAAAATTTATAAAATTTGCCGACTACTTCAAAATTACTGGAAACCCAGGGGTTCTAGACGTGCTGTAAGATACAGCATTGGAATGATCAGATTTCGCTGCATGTTTACCTTCTCAAATCTCCACTGAGTCTGCTTTGCTGTTCAAAAACATGAATCTGACATAACTTTCCTATCTGAATGTATATGAATACACCAGAGTAAATCTCACCATCATGTGCATCCACAAGACTGGGGTCCTAATTAGAGTAAGAAATATTCCATACTGCAATATAATTATATCAAAATGGACTCTACTGCCATGTATAACTAAAAAGAATCAATTAAAAAGTAAAAACCTTTCATTATTTATAAATAACTTTGTATCGTGATGCCCTTATAAAATATTCTCCATGCTTCCAGTTCTCAAATCAACAACCTGGTCATTTTGCAAGGTCACTTTTATCATTAATTTACTGGTAAACTGTTGTATTTTGAACGTTGAACTTCCTTCAACCCCATACTTCAAATTTATTATTGTTATTAGTTATCCTCATCTAGTTTGTGTATTTGATCTTTCATTTTTTTCCTTCCTTTCCTTTTTTATTTCCTTCCTTCCATCTTTCCTTCCTTCCTACCCTCCTTCCTTTCTTCCTTTCTTTCATTCTTTTTACCACAGTAATACACCACCCTTTTAAAGTTAAACTTGCTAAGACTTATTTGCCTCACTTGGGATCTTTAAACATCTTGCTCCATCAACCTCTGGAATATTGGTTGCTAAGGAATAACAACCTTAGTAGCGTGATTTAAGTTTTTGTTCCAGGTATAGTGCCAATTTTTTTTTAATCACTGATCAAATGAATATTTTTCAGCCTCTTTTTGCATATGTAAAAGGAAGCAAATTATACACAGTAAATAGCATTATTGTGAATACTGGATGATATGTTTTTATGCAGTTCATTTTAGAGCAAAGAGTACTTTACCAATACAATCACTTAATTCTTTCTGTATTTTGTCCTATATTACTTGGTACTGGTAAAGCAAAAAATAAATAAATAAATAATGAGTTTTTACTCTTCTACAATACATGTTCTCCAAAGAAGTTTTTGACTGTCTCTACTGCTCAAGATTATTTCATTCATCTACAGAATACGTTCTACTATTAAATTGTAAAACATAGCCAAATGTAAGCTATTGATATGTATTTGTACTTGTTAATTCTTTTTCATACTTTCTCAAATCTATTTCTGTCTTTAATTTTGAAATACATCTAGTCTTTTCCTCTTCTCAGCAACAGATTTAGTTCCTTTTGAGTTTTCTTTTTTCTTTTTTTTTTTTTCCTGACTAGAAAGCTCTGGATTACAACCTTCATTTGCTCCAAAGTATCCAATATCTTCCAACCACTAAAAAAGTGCTGTCTAAATTTCTTAGTTTGTCTTTCTATGTGGTCTGAATATAACCACTTTCCCAAACCATTTGTCACCAATTACCTACACAGCATTGTACTGGTATGTTTTCAGATCTAGACTTGGTCTAGACCTTTACAAACCATAGGGGAACTATTTGGATTTCGTACCCTAATCCATCTCTACTTTCCTAAGTCTTATGCAAAATAGGTCAGTTGATAGGCAGAAATCACCCTTTCAGCCATAAAACTTGATCATTTTCTCCTGTATATCTCAGATAGAAAGATTTGTACCATCTACCTAACGCAACATGACTATCTGGTGGATAACTTTCTAGCAAATATAATTGTTCTTTAGTTTAAATATTATCATTTTACATATGATTTGTGTGTGTGTGTGGAGTACTGGGGTTGAATCCAGGGGTGCTTAACCACTGAAACACAGGCCCAGTAGTTTTTATTTTTTTATTGTGAGGCACAGTCTAAATTTTTTGGGCTTCACTACATAGCTGAGGCTTGCTTTGAATTTGTAAAACTCCTGCCTCAGTCTCCTGAGCTGCTGGGATTACAGGTGTGTACCACTGTGCCTGGCTACATATGATTTTTGAGGCTTAGCTGCTTGCTAATTTATCTTGATAGCTTCTCATCCCAAATGTAGACAACACTGCCTTCAATATAACTATTTTTAATGAATTGATGAACAATTTATAACATATGTAATTTAGAATGTATATATGAACCGAGCTAGAAAAATAAAATAAAAGTCCTCAAGTCTATGTTGAAGAGAACTTATGTAAAAACATACCAAAGCAATCTCAATTCTAATTTACTATCCTTACCTTTTATATATATGTATATATATATATATATATATATATCAGATTGGAGTTTCTTATTATCAGTTCAATGGCTAAAATAAAATTTGATCTTCTTTTTTTCACAATATACTGACCATGTATAATTGTTTAAGAATGCCCTGATAAGTGCAACAAAAGGCCCAGAAGAAAAAAGATAAAAATAATTATATGTTTGATGATATTTTTTCTGTCCTTGATCAAAATATTGAAATAATAAATTATGACTCTTAACTTCTTACTTCAAGTAAGTCAGACCAATATCTGAGCAAGTTTTTAGAAAGTTCAATTTTCTATTTCTGGAATTTTCACTTCTTGAACTAACATAGATTATATATTCTGAAAAGTCCTTCATTGCTACAAATTATTTGAAAAATGATGAATTTTAACTTTCAAATGCATGTCAAAAATCTTAAATCAGACAAGAGAATCTCTAGGTGCTATCAACACATACTCACAGTTTAGCTTAAATGTCAAATGAAAGCAAATGGAAGCAAAATCTGTACTGAAAATCTAGACGTTCATCTATTATTAGTTGCTTGAAGTAAAAGATCAGTCCTTCAACTCAAAAAATTGGAGGTTACCCAAGAATGATCCCAGGATATTGGAAGGGAAATATATCTTGAATAATAGGTAAGCAGCATGCAGGAACATTGGCCAGGTTAAAAAGAAGAGCAATTGAAATCTACCCATACCAGCCTGCATAGGCTCACAGTAGGCCAGGGTTCATCCCACCACTAGCAGATACCCGCCAGAGCTCAGGCTCCAACACAGTACTACATCTTTAGGCCAGAGACCATCATGGGCCTGGCCCAAATCCACCCACATTGACGTATACCTAGACCCATGCCTACTGTAGGTCTGAATTCACCACCACCTGGGAGCCCAAGCCTAACTCACTTCCATCTTGGGACATTACAGATATCACCATAGCCTTCCCCAGGCAGTAGCCCCTACCTTTTTGACAACAGACAGTGCCTAGAAGCAACTGAATCTTAGAGAAGGTATCCCAAAGACAGTGTAAGGCCCACCCTTTCAACCACATCTCTGTAAGAAATTGCACCTTAGGGCACCTCCACTACTATCACAAGTTACAACTATTGCCGCTATCACCTTTAGTTGCAGTAGCATACATTGAGGGACACCAGAAGAGTCTAGAAGCCCAACATCAAGGTGAAATACAGACAATCTGCATGGGTACTAACAGAATATAGGGTAGAAACTAATATCTCAGATCCACACTGCAATAAAGCAAAACACATAGACAACATGAAAAAACAAAGGAAGAAAGTTTTCCAAACAAACAAGGATACTACAATAACAGAATCCATGGACACCATAGTTGATGAAATGTCACAGAAGGAATGCTGAAGGTTCATAATTAAAATGATCTCTGAATTAAAGAATGACCTAAATGAGTAAATATAGGCAAAAATTGATCACTCCAACAAAGAGATAAGAGAGCAAACACAAGTAGCAAAAGATTATATAAATAAAGAGACAAAGAAACTGGAAAAAAAACAGTCAGAAATCCTTGAAATGAAGGATATAATAAACCAAAAAACAAACAAACAAACAAAAAACAAACAAAAAACCTCAAAAGAAAGCATAACCAACAGACTACATCACTTGGAAGAAAGAATGTCAGAATGTCAA